GGGGATAACTAAACGAATCGATTCGTTTTGTGTTGTGAGCACTAACTTTATGTTTCGTTTGTTTCCCTATTTCTCTGCATTCAATTGTTTTGTTTGCGTTAGCTATCGCGAACGCTAGCAGAGTAAAGTTACCACTCGCAAATTGTTTCCCAGTGATTTGAATCGGTTGTGTTTCGTTACCTTCTATGAGCGAAGCTAAACGATACCGATACGTTTGCTATTGTTTGTTTCCGTTCTCTGCTTTTTCCATTTCAGTTACGATGTTGTGACGTCTTTTTGTATTTCAGGTGACGATTTGTATGTGTATGGTTTGTGAATGTTGCAAGTGTAATGCAGTTACGCTTGGACCGTGTTCGTAAGTACGCATTTTTATACCCGAGCGCACTTGTGCACAAGGGCATTATAATTTTGTTCACATAACGGTTGTTTGTAAAAGGCAAAACGAATCGAGATAGATATAGACAAATGTATACATAAATGATCAGAATGAAAAGAGAAATCGATTAAGCGGTGACTGTCTGTCCTTCCGTCCGTCCGTTTGTGCACACGATAACTCGAGTAAAAATAGAGATATCTTAACGAAACGTGGTACGTGCACTTCCTTCTGGCGTAGGACGGATGGTATTGAAAATGGGCAAAATCGGAAAATAACCACGCCTACCTCCCATATAACGGTAATTTTCAGAAATACGAAAACTGCGAAATTTTAGTAACTACTGAAGATTATTCACTCAAAATTGATATTTACAATAAGTTTTAGACGAAAAATAAGAACATTATAAATTTTTGGAAAATGGGCGTAGCGTATATCTTGGTAACCGCTGCATCAATTTCTTCCAAACTTGGCACAGTTGTTGGCCTTGATATAACCTACGAAATGGGCGAAAATTTTTAAAATCGAACAATAACCACACCCACATCCATTATAACGGTAATTTAGAGAAATACGAAATCTTTGATAAATCAGTAAATGTTAAAGCTAATTTATTCAAAATTGATGCTTGAAACAATTCTTTACCAAGAAATACGTTTATGATAAAATTTTGGAAAATTGGCGTGGCACCGCCCACTTATGATCATATACATATATATATATATCTCGGTAACCGCTCTACCAATTTGTACCAAAATCGATGTGGTTATTGTACTTGCCACATAGAAGCAAAACGTAGAAAATTATTGAAATCGGACTAAAATTACGGCCGCTTTTCATATAACGAAAATTTCAGAAATGCTTGAAACTTCAATATTTGGAAATTTAAGGACGCTAATTTACTCAAAATTGATGACCGTGACATACGAACACAACATTTTTATATACATAAATATACATAGAAGATGTCCAATGTGTGCTATCGATTTTGGCCACAACAAAAATTCCACATTGTACTTTCGTGAATGAACTTTCAGTTTCTCGATTACTTTTACAATTCCTTTGAGTAATTGAAAAAACTAAAGTACTCTTGCAATTCTAGGTAATGGAATTGAAAAAAAAAATCAATTTAATTTTCAATTCCTTTCAAAGGAATTGGAAAAAAATTACATTACTAGCACGTAATTTATTCCAATTACAATATGAAATTCCTTGTAATGGAATTAAAGAAAAACCAATTACATTTGAAGTTACTGCAAGGAATTGAAAAAGTAATCGATTCCTTTGCTGTGGACTTAAGGAATTGATTCCTTATTACAATTCCTTATAATCTGTAATTGGGAGTAATTTAATTCCTAAAGGAATCATTACGACCCAGCTCTGGCACTTGGTGAGTGTTTTTTAATTCCTTTCCACTTTGTTTTCCTTCATATAGCCGACCTCGAAAAACAACTGGTAGTTGGCAATGCTGCACATGTTTAGGCACGGGTTGCAGCATGTCGATATTTCGTTTTTCGTAACGTAGCTACGGATGTTTCGATTCGAGCCCTGATTTCGCAGCAATTAAATAACTTTTAATTTTATTAATTTATTTCATCTAAATTGCAGGCTCACGATACAGACGAACTTCGGTTTGATGTGGTAGTTAATAATTATAACAATTGGTGTTTACGTGCGGAAACTCCAGAAGACCGCATTCATTGGGTCGAGGTATTGCAAATGTATAAGGAGGATACAGCAAGCACAGATACTACGTCCCTACGGCGTCATGGTAGCACCATGTCTTTGCAGTCAAATACAGTGTCGGTGGCCAGCGGAAACAGTCTAAAAAAAACACAAAGAAACTTAAAGGAAAAAGCAGGTGAAATAGAGACATTTAAAGATATACTTTTCGGACAGATCGAAACTCTCCAAAGGTACTTTTAAACATCTTTGAAATTACGTAGTTTTTCTCTTGAACTGTTTTCTGTCTTTAATTATAGATATTTTGATGCTTGTGCCGATATTAACAAGACAACAGGAAAATCCCTTGATCTAGGCGATGGCTTAAAACCAATCGATTTTAAGGTATTTTTATAATTATTCTCTACATTCTTAATATTGCTTCTAAATTATAAATCAGGGAGAATCAATCACTTTTCGTGCCACAACTTCCGGTGTATTAACAACACTTCAACACTGCGTAGATATAATTGCTGAAAGTGATGATTTGTGGAAAAAGAAGTTGGAGAGGGAAATAGACAGGCGAAAACGAACTGAAGAACAAAATCGGTGTGTCATTATTTTAAAAATTAACGTAATTTTTCGCGTTACGACTCTTTAAATCTTCATATTACAGAAAATACAAGGAGGAGATCGAAAAAATTAAACGTATTTCATATCCAGGACCCGATTTTGAGGTAAGTTAAATTAGCTAATACTAATGTTTTTTGAAAAATAGACACCGTCCATACTCTTCAAATCACGTTTAAAAATAACGAAAAATAAATCTGCACATTTAAAAAAGGTTAAGAATGTTATACACCTGATTTTTTAAAATTAGTTTTTAATACAAATTTCATTTAATTTAAAATTAGAATTTAAAAATAAATATACTTACTACCTCAACGACCCAAAATGTTTTTTGAAAAATAGACACCGTCCATACTCTTCAAATCACGTTTAAAAATAACGAAAAATAAATCTGCACATTTAAAAAAGGTTAAGAATGTTATACACCTGATTTTTTAAAATTATTTTTAATACAAATTTCATTTTATTTAACTAATTTTTTAAGACAAATTTAACTTAATTTGCGTAATGTATTGTATTCCTCACTTTATTTTCTGTAAATAAATTCGCTTATCTGGATANCTTAAGAATGTTATACACCTGATTTTTTAAAATTATTTTTAATACAAATTTCATTTAATTTAACTAATTTTTTAAGACAAATTTAACTTAATTTGCGTAATATATTGTATTCCTCACTTTATTTTCTGTAAATAAATTCGCTTATCTGGATATCACTTTGGTTTAAATATCGCGTATATGTATGTATAAAATAAAAATAAAAAAACTACAATAGCGCGTATCATGATTCAGTAATACAAGGTTGGATGATTATTGACAGCCGCGGTTTTACACTCCCTTACAAAAGGTTGCATTTCCGAAGGATAGAGAAAGAGGAAGAATACAATCCCTTGTTGCGAAAATTATAGTAGAAAAGTACGCAAAGTAAGCAATTATTAGTGAGATTCCTTTTGTAAATTCTAATGTATTTGCAGGAAATCTGGCATTTTAAACGAAATATTGAACGAAATATTAATATATCTACCTGAATTACGAAATTATGTGCTATTTAGCTGTATAAAAATTGCAAAAGGACTCAAAGTTAAAATAAAACTACTATGTAAACATCCAATTTAAAAACAATTTATGTTTTAATATGTTAAATGTGCTTCATATGCATATACAAATAAACATATTGCACAAAAGCTTATACTTCTATTTCACAGCAAAGCTACACTTTTTCCAAGTAAATTTGCGAAGAAGCAACACGGTGTCACTGCTAAGGGAGCTGTGCGAGAGAGACAACTGTCAGTTTATCGAACTTTGTATTATTGAATCAAAAGCGCGTATGCATATTTAAAAAAATATCCTTTTAGTGAATTTCATTTGTATGTAGTATATTGTGAGTCCAACATATAATAAACTACTAGTTCAGTAAAAAAGGTGCCCGAGTTTTGGTAAAAATCAGTTTTTTCTTACTCCTATGAAATTTGGATAGCATCATATACGCGGTATTGCAGTTTGCATATACGCGGTATTGCACGCCAAGCGACGATATACCGCAAATTCAATGCTCTCTAGTGAGAGCAGTGGCCAGCAGGCGCGTGTGCAGCTGAGCGAAATATCCGCAGTATCATCAACCGCACGCAGACGTTCGTGATACAATCCGCCAGTCTAATCCTGGGGATTCCTGGGCATCAGGGATCTTAAGAAGGACACTAGTAAACTGGTAAACGAACATAAGCGCAAAACATGGAATGAACACCTGCAATCTCACCAGCGGTGCTAGCAAACTGTGGACCACAGTTAAATCTCTCGCTCCCGTCCGACGAAACGTAAGGACAACGTTGCCCATACATTTGGCAACACCACAACCTCGGATCTGCAGACGTGCGCCCGCTTCTTCAGCCGGAATGAACTTCCACACCCAGATAAAGAAAAAATCTCGCTTCAGTTTCCTAGGTAAAGCGCCCCGCATTTCGGTTTATCCATCTACCTGGCAATCTCAACTAACGGTAGGACCAAGAAACGGCCAGCTTTAACAGGGTCGGACCAATGGGGGAGAGGTGATAGTTGAGTGGGATTGAGCAGGCATGTGAAGAGGTGGTTGGTTTCGTGCGCGGAGTCTCCACATGCCGGACGTTCATTGGGGATATTGGGGTCGAGTCTGGACAGGTAGCTGTTGAAGAGGCTACAGTATCCACACCGTAACTGGGCCAGGGTAACGCGGGTGTCAGCAGTTGAAGCACCACGTCTGACACAAGTGGTGATTGGGCTCCGAAAACGGTATTCATAGGCCGGGTGATGTTGTTGTCGTTGTAGCGGCTTACAACAACCCCGCCCAGATTGGTTAGTATCTCAGTCGTTGTCGTCAAGCTCAACTAACGAGAGACCCAAGGACCGTGCAGCCTCTATAGGGTCTGTCCTTAGAGACAGAGGCGTTAGTCGTGTGGGGTTATCCGGGCATACGAAGATACGTTTCGAGTCGTGGGGTGTCTCTCCGCATGCCGGACACTCATTTGGCACATAATATGCTTAGGGCTGAGTTTAACCTGCTGCAGTAGGTAGAGCGAAGTTGGGCTATTGCGGTTTTAGTCTCCCGAGGCGGACGAAGCTCCGTCATCGATCGTTTACGATGTTTGACAATTTGTTAGGTTGTAGTCACATTAAATGGAAAATTTTAAACTTTTCAATTACAACTCTGTAATTCAATTAGAAAAATACTTACATATGGATGTATTTCCCTATATTTATTCATCATTCTTCTACTCTTCCTATAAATAGAATAAAAATGCATACCGTAGTAAGTTCGCTGAGACTAAAGTTCCAAGGCCCAACTTCGTTGAAATTTTAACGGGAACCCGGCTCTTTTCTAATGATTAAGTAAGCATTTTTAATATCGAAAGATACGAGTAAACTCGGAATTTCTGAATGTTCCCCAAAAAAATAAGTAATAAAAATTCATGGCCAGTCAAAAAATTTTAGGAGCATAATGGGTAAGTTGAATTCAAGTCCAAGTCACACTAAAGTCGATGTTAAAACATCGTTGAAACTGGCATCGATGTACCGTTTTTCGAATATATCGTCTTACACAGGTGGTGATTGGGCTCCGAAAACGGTATTCATAGGCCGGGAGATGTTGTTGATTTTGTAGTGGCTTACAACAACCCCGCCCAGATTGGTTAGTTGGGCTATTGCGGTTCAAGTCTCCCGNAATATCGTCTTACACAGGTGGTGATTGGGTTCCGAAAACGGTATTCATAGGCCGGGAGATGTTGATTTTGTAGTGGCTTACAACAACCCCGCCCAGATTGGTTAGTTGGGCTATTGCGGTTCAAGTCTCCCGAGGCAGGCGAAGCTCCATCTCGTCGATGTCAGGTGGTTGTGTGCCTAGAACGGCATTCACGGGTCTGGAGTCTATATATTTCGAGACTGACTCCCTGTAAATGCCGCTCAGGGTCTGTCGGTAGGCTGACGGGTCCAGAGGTTACTTTATGAACCTCTGGACTTCGTCCGTCAGTTCATATAGATGCCTTCTGACGTGCCTTGGCGAGGGCTCCTCTGAGAGAAAGTGCCTGTTCCGGTGCCACACTGGTGCTACGTAATTTAAAACCGGCCGGCCAATTGCCTTGTTGAAAGGACACCACCCTGTGGAACCCCCTGTTTTATTTTTCTAGGTTTACTCGATTTGTCTCTAAACATTACTGACGAGTGTCGGCCACTCAGATAATTCGCCGATTACCGTTTGAGTCTCTGTGGGAGAGATGAGGCCTCTATGTCTTCTAGCAGCGTGGAGTGGTTGACGGTATCAAACGCCTTTGACAGGTTCAATGGTACTAGAATGGTTCTTATCACAGGGACGGTTGCGGTTTAGGCCACGTGTTATCTGAGTGTTTATGGCGTTAAGTGCTGTTGATGTGCTCTGCACTTTACGCAAACCATGCTGATGCTTGCTGGGGTTATGTGGCTCGTAAAATACGGGAGTAGCCAACCCTCTAGTGTCTTTGCTACCGGGGAAAGGAGGGTTATCGGACGATAAGACTCCTTAGTTGCCCGGTTGCCCCAGTCTGGAATGACGAGAGGGGCCATTGACTGGTTGAGAATTTTTCAGCATCATCATGCATATTCCGTCGGGACGCCGGCGAAGCCAACTGCCATGCTGAGCGGACGTGTATTTTATTTGCTCTGCGTGTTGCTTGATTTCTTAGTGTTTTGTGTTCATTTCGCATTTTAAATTATTGAGATAGTGACTCTTATTGATTTTCAATCATACGGTGCGATAATGCCGTGTGTTTGTGGACAGAAAGTAGAGCGGTCCGAGAAAAAAATTCAGTGCGCTAAGTGTAATGAATGTTCTCATTTGGGATGTGAAAACATTTCGCCATCAAATGCTGAATTTTTGCATAGTTCGGGCAAACCCTATCTATGTAATGTGTGTGCATCCGCTCGGCGATATTCTCTTCGTACGCCCCCGCCCGCTGTCGTGCCCGATGAGGATGAGTCAAACCTTGCTAAATATCAACCAATCGGAGCTACATAAAACTCTGTAGCTGAAAGAGGCCAAATCTATTTTTGTATCCCAACAAAGTAGAATGGAAAGTGTGCGTAAAGAAACCGCTAACGATTATAAGCAGCAAACAATGCTGCAGAGTCTGTGGCAAAAAGATAAAATGCATCTTATAAAAATATCAGAATTCCTACAAGCAGAAGTACGACAGTTGAAGTATAAGCTCTGATATGACGAGATGGTCTCTGCAGTTTTAACACTTAGTGCTGAAGTCAAATGCCTATGTGAGAATTCGTGTCATCCACCAAATAGCAACAAAGCCACCAGTGCAAAATCTCAGCCCAAAGCTAACAAACAGACAGAGCTACCTTCCCATCGCCTCGTTAAATCAGCTGTTTCGACTGGTAATATCACAACTAAGTCAACGTCGACTGCGCCGTCCAACTCTCTCGCTACGCCTGGTGTTTCTTTTGTGCTTTCTGATGCTATCTCCGATTCATCGACAATGTATACTTCATCCACTACTTCTGCTTCTCTCACCTATGCTGCTATTGCTTCTGCTTCTGCTGGGTGTTCTACTGGTATTGCCACTGCTTGTGCTGACGCGGGTTCGTTTGTTTTCGATAACAACAATGCTAATATAGCGTCTCGGCAAACGACTTGTGCCAGTGCTGCTAACGAAGTAAACAATACTCCGCGCGCCCGTCAAAATTTGGAGGGTACCACTGTCGCGGACAAGAAAACATAAAGAAAACATATTTGTGTTGTTGGTTCAAAGCTAAACTCTGAACTCGATGTCATTGCCGGTGCTAGGTGGCTGCACATTTATTCGTTTTCGCCTGCTGTTACATCTGATAACATTATAGATTACGTGGCTAGGCATTCGGGTATTGGGAAGCAATTATTAACGTGCTACAGTCTTGTGAAGAAAGATACTCCTCCTAAGTTTTTAAGGCGCATAAATTTTAAATTAGGAGTTCCTGAGTCATGGTACGAAAAAATGCTTAGCGCTGAGCTTTGGCCAGCTAAGGTAACAGTCCGTCCTTTTCGGTTTATCCCAAAAGCGGATGTAAAAGAAACTTAGCGACAACTCTAAGCGAAAATTATCAAACAAGCAAGCAAATTGGAATTTACTTTCACAACGTCTCTGGTATGAGAACAAAGTAAACGATGTTTGTACAATTAGTTCGCTTGAAACCTATGATGTCTTTGTGTTAATCGAAACCTGGCTTAATCCTACCTTTTTCGACTCGGAGAATTTTGACTGCAAATTTTATGATATTTTCCGCGAAGATAGAGACGCTAAAAAAACTTTATGTAACAGAGGTGGTGGTGTTCTGATTGCTGCTAAGCGTAAATTGCGAGCCACAATACATCAGCTTGAAAATAATGATTCCTTATTGGACCAGCTATGCATACGACTATTTGGTTCGGCCGGGGAACTGTATATTTGTGCCCCCTTCATTCCTCCCAATAGTCATGAATCATTATACAATTTACATGTTGACAACCTCGCAACGTTACATTCAGTGATCGCGGATAAGGAGTTATGCGTGCTGGGTGATTTTAATTTAATTTTGCCAAGGCATTCAATAGGGTGTCCCATAAAATCTTAATTAGTAAATTGGCGTACATTGGTTTTCACTCCGCCTTCCTTGAATGGATCAGTTCCTATCTACCCGGGAGGTACTGTAGGGTGCAAATCTAAGGCACAATATCGCGTTCTTTTCACTCTAGTTCTGGGGTCCC